GAAGAATTAACCCAACAAATCAAGGAATTAGAACAACAGCAAGCTGCTAGTCAAAAACAAATGTCCAAGGCTATGTTGTTCTTAATTATTTTCTTACTTGAATATGTGGTTTATAAAAAGCAAGGAGTATTAGGCTTAGTTGTTTTAAATACTTTACTCTTATTAGTTTATAATTACCGAGAACAAATTAAACAATACGCTGATTTATGAAATAAATATTTACTAATTATTGGTTATGTCATTGGTAATACTTTGGCTTATTCTGCTCCCGAACAAGAAAAATATAAATGACCTTCGGTAACCGCTTTTAATTTAATTATCTTAGGCATTTATGCTTATACCCTTTATCAGCAAAAACAAGCACAAGTTAAATTAGAAACTGTTTTTCAGGAAAAGACCGCTCAAATTAGGGAAGAATATCAGGTTAGTGAGCAAGAATGAGCTAACATTCAGCAAAATAACTCGCCTTTAACTGGAATTGGTGGTTATATTGATGAATATAGTATTTTCTCTAATTCAGGAGCGTTAAAAATGCAACAATTAAATCAATTAAAAGCAACTATTGAACAAAAGCAAATTGCCGAACAAATTTCTCAGCAAAAAGCCCAAGAACTCCAAAAGCAAGCGAAAATTTTACAGCGATCAAGCGAAATAGAAAATAATTTAAAAGAAATTCAGGCTAATTTAGGCGAAAGTAAAATGTCCTGAACTAAAATTAAGGAAAGTTATCCGGACTTTGCTGAGCGATCCATTTTATTAAAAGAATTAGCCTTAGCAGATAAATTCTTAAAGAAAGATGAAGAAAAAGCACTTAATCAATCTTTTTTAATTAAACTAGAAAGGATTAGCGTTATTTCTAGTGAAGAAAGTAGTTTATTATCTCAATTGCGTTTATCTTTAGAACAATTTATCGCGATTTCTTGCCAGGCTTATCGTTTTAATGAAGAGGAAAAAGAATATTTAAGCGATAATTACGTGAATTTAACTAATGAACAGCAATTAACTTTATTAAATAGCGGTCTAAATAGTTTAGGAATTGA